TACGATTAGTTATAGATGAGGATCGCTTCCAATTTATAAACAATGGAGAAAAATGCTACGTAAAGTGTCTTATTTTTTCAAATCGACTCCATCCAATAATTTTTCATTCACGAAGTACAGGCTTCTCTGATTTCGGTTTTCATTAACACTTTATGTGAAAGCCAGTAATATAAACCAGCTCACCAAGTAGGTGGAAAAAAGTTCGAACAAGGGATTAATTTATTATTTATTTGAACACATAAATATCGGTACAAGGAGGCACCAGATACATATACGCCACACAATAACAATGAAAATGGGAAGAGATAAAGGATTTAAGGTGCAAATAAAAAGAAAAAAACAATAACGACCACAAATTAGTGTACGGTAGAGAAATAATAATGGGAGAAACAGAAAAGTACAGCCAGAAGGAATCTTTTAGTTAGAGAAGTTACGGCCACTTTTTATGAAGAAAGTAAAAGAAGATTACAGCACGATCGCCACTGGCTTCTATTCTGAGCCATATCTGATAACGTCTCTAGCCACTGTGTAGCACCATCTCTCGCACCCCAAACAGGGAGTCATGAAGAACCAATAGAAGCCAGTCCTGTGCAGCGTTCTTTCATACCACGACACAATGCCATACACTAACCACCTCCACACTTTTTCCAACTAGTCCCAGAGTCGGCAAATAATGCACGACGTGGAATTCTCTGGGACGACATTCGTAGAACATGTCTAAGCCACCAAAGTCGGTGTTTCAAGATGGTGACACCAATTGAATTATCATCTCTGTGCTCGAACACACGATGCCGAACCTCTGCATTACTGACATGGTGTTGCCACTGAATGTCAGCAATCCTTCGGAGACAGCGATGATCGAACACAGAGAGTCTTCTAACATCCTCAACTCGGAGAGGCCAGTTTTCACAAGCATAGAGCAGAACTGCTCTCACCGACGCGTTGTAGATCCGACCTTTTACAGCCAGACTAACATCACGAAGGCGCCAAAGGTGGCCCAGATTGGCCTAAGCCGCTCTGGCTTTCACTATACGTGCATTGATCTCATCACTCACACCCCCACCAGCACTTATGCAGCTACCCAGATACACGAACTTCCCGACTACGTCTATCTGCTCACCATCCAGGGTGAGTACAGGATTGGAATCCTGCCAGTCTTGTAGAAGTACTTTGCACTTCGAAGGTGCAAAGCACGTACCGTACCTACGGACATTGATTGCCAACTGATTAAGTGCGGATTGCATGGCTTGGGCATTATCGCACAGTAAGACAATATCGTCCGCATACTCAAGGTCGAGAAGTCTTTCTTCAGGCAACAGATCCACACCACCATTACTTACATTCATCAGAGCTGTTTCCAGAATGTCATCGATGGCAAAGTTGAAGAGGAATGGTGAGATTGGGCAACCCTGCCCAACCCCACTGCTCGAATGGAACAATGGAGAAAGGTGGTGTATGCCCTCATCCCAGAGAACAGTCCTGTCCAACGATGTTCTAACATTTTGGCGGAGGGTGAAGATATGATCAATACATCCTCGACCAGAACGAGAACCAGCCTGCTCCTCACGAGTCAATCTTTCTCGGAATTTGAACAACCCTCAAATTTTGACAGGAGCCAATAGTTTGGACGCAACTGGAAGTAGACTAATCCCCCGATAGTTGTTACAGGAACGACGTGAACGGTTTTTAAAAATAGGGACAACTATCGATTCATCCCACGATGTTGGAACACTCTCTAGTATCCAAAATTTTGTAAACAACACAGTAAGTTCCTTAACGAGAAAGTCACCTCCATCTTTAAAAAGGACGGAGGTAAGTCATCAGGGCCAGGTGATTTGTAGCGCTTCAAGAGTTGGAGTTCCTTGCGGACTTCCGCCTCATTTGGTGGATCAGTCGTCACCGGCCATGGAGGGCAGGACAGTCTGACCGATGTTGCCGGAGCAGCAGGCCAGTTGAACTGCTCTTCGAAAAATTCTGCCCATCGTCCAAGACGTCGATGGATGTTGGTGACTGGCATCCCGTCATCCTCACAGATTGTTTCCCTCACACCAGACTTCTTGCTGCCAGTGGCTTAGATGAGTTGGAGGAACTTCCGATAGTTACCAGATGCAGCTGCTGCTTCCAACTCATTGGCACGCTTCGACCACCAGGCTTCTCGGACCTTACGCCAGCTTTGTCCAATTGCATTACGTAACAGCCTTCGCTCGAGGTCAAACTCACGGTCACCCGGAGTAGACCGACGGCATTCAATGGTTTGTAAGGAGTCAGAAAAAACCCAGTGCTTATAGGCGGAACGTTTCGCGCAGCCCCATGTGACTTTACTCGCCATTTTCATTACATCGTGCGATTGCAACCCATGCTCATTTATACTTTTCGGTGGGATGGTAGCTGGCCTAGAACCTAGATCGGTTTGATATTTATTTGCAACAGAAGCTGCAACCAATTCGCTAACATCGATCGGTTTAGGACGATGAATTCGTTGGCCACTGAAAAGTAAGGTAAGATTAGCGCAAACAAAGGCATAATCCGAGTCCAGCTACATACTCCAAAAGCAGCGGCAGTCTTGTACACAACCACGCCAGTGGTAGCTGATCGCGATGTGATCAATCTGAGTTCGGGCTTGAGATTCAGACGGAGGACACCAGGTGGCACATCGGTGATGACTGTGCTGGTAGTTATTGTGGGTCCGAGACAGGTTGTAGTCTGCGCAAAGTCGTAGTAAACGGTCACCTTTATCTAACCTCTGACTAACAAGTCTCCATCAGCCACCTAAACGACTCTCTTCTACGTCTAAACGCCCGACCTGAGCATTCAAGTCTCCGGCTAGTACTACAATATTTGTCGAACACACTTTCTGTAGAACAGTCAACTGGTTGTAAAGCTCATCGTTTGTCGCATCCAGACTTCAGTCTGTCAGAGTTCACTATCCGTAGTTGGTGGTAGCATTCAACTTTCAACTAGTCAGTGACTTGGGGTCGTTTAGATAAGACAGGAATTCTGCCATGGGCGAGCTGTTGTATAAGTTTAAAAATGAAATGCGCAAAATGATAATAAAAAAAGAAAGGTCAAATGGAGTAGTATAGGGAAAATAAAAACGAATATTATCAAATAATCGTGACTGAGATTTGTCAAAACGAGAATTGAAGCAAAAATGATTTCTTTAGTAGAAATCATCGTTTGATTTGTCTGAGGGTTGGGATAAAATCCAGAGTCCAGATAGGTACTTTAAAAGGAGCGGCAGTCTTGTACACAACCACGCCAGCGGTAGCTGATCGCGATGTGACCAATCTGAGTCCAGGCTTGGGATGCAGAGAGAGGACGCCAGGTGGCACGTCGGCGATGACTGTGCCGAAAGTAAGTCCTAGCCAGAAACAGATTGTGGTCTGTGCACAGTTGCAGTAGACGGTCCCCGTTATCTGACCTGCGACCAACGAGTCTCCATCGGCCACCTAAACGACTCTCTTCTATGCCTAGACGTCCGACCTGAGCATTCAAGTCTCTCGCTAGTACTACAATATCTGTCGAACGCACTTTCTGAAGAACAGCTAATTGGTGGTAGAATTCATTCTTGATTGCATCCGGGCTGCAATATGTCAGGGCATAGGCGGAGATGACGAAAAGACATCGTTCCTCACACCGATTTCTTCTCAATTTGATGGAACTTTCTAATCTACCAGCACATAACCGACTGTTAATGGGGATCCAATCGATTAGTGCTGCCTCAGCTCTAGCGCTTAGTTCGACACCAATGCCAGCAACACAAGACGAAGGTGCCACAGGGTCCCCGGATAAGCGCACGTAAAACAAGGCAGCCAGTTTGAATGGTGCATGTGGTTTCACAAAAACTGCTTCAGTATTCGTATTTGGTTGTAGCATACAATTTTCAACCAGGCAGTGACTCGAGAACGTTTAGATACAGTCGAATTTCCACCATAGGCGAGCCGCTGTATAAGTTGAAAAATGGGGATACATGAAATGAGAATAGAGGTAGATAAATGACGTAGTATATAAAATAATAATGATGAGTGTTACCAGATGAATGTAGAATGTCTGAATTCTAATTAAAGCGAGCTTAGTATTTCGTAAAGTGATTGCCATCTAATTAGATTTGTGTGAGGGCTGTGATACTGCCCGAGTGCCCAAACCGAAGCAGGTGGTTTTCTTAGGGGGCCACACCCCGAGCCTTTGACCTGAAGGTCCGATCCACAAGGCAGTGGAGCAACGTAAAGAGATGCAGTCCAGTGGTAGCCGGTGACTAACGACTGGTTCATACGCCATTTGTTCCCTCAGGGTCCTGGAGCCAGCCCATGTGCACCATTGGTTTGGAATCAGGTTTTTCCAACTCTCATAGGTGTACCCTCCGTGTCCACCAACCCGGTTAAAGCGCCGGACATTCGTTTTTCGTCCTCTCAATTTCGTAAACAACACCCTCGCCACGAGAAGGCAGTGAGTAGGACTTTCCTGGCAGAGGCTATATACGCGTGGCCATGTGAGAGCACTTCGAGAGGGAGAGCGGACTCTCTCCACTCTCGGCAGTACCAGGGCATTTGGGGGCTCGGATCAGGGACATATCAGTTGGAAGCCCAATGCTTTACCTACTAAGCTATCTTCAAAATAAGCCACTTATTTAGAATTATGAGAGTGAGATGATAGCAAAAGATTATCTCATTTAAATAATTTTTCTAATATGAACATAGATACAATGAATGCGATAATTTGGTTTAGTTCCTTACAAAAAAAGACAATATTAAAGTCGGCTGAAAAGAAAGTAAATTAAGAAAACGCACAATTACTATTCTTGTTTTAACTGTTCTAATGAGCAATATAAAAACAATTGAATCTGAGTACTTAATAATATTTTTAAAGAGTTCAATCTCAACACATCACCGCTGAATGTAGATCCAAATACGCTATTTGGTTGACAAAAGAAATGATTAAATCTAATATCTGTTTACATGCACAGAAGCAAGCACAAACAAACATACATCTGTCCAACATGTTTACATTTTAAAGCCATAAGTTGTTGGTAAATGGTCACTCGTACTACTTAGAGATAGTAATGAAGGATAAAGCTGTGATGTACTGGCTGACACATCTGAATTCGTCATCACATTAGGTACATATGATGAATGAGGAGTATTGGAAAAGCTTGATGCCCTTATATGACCAGACGATAATTGCTCCGCTAACTTTTCGCATTTAAATCTACGTTCATTACATAGTTTACGAAGAGGAATAAAATCTTTCAAAAATGCATCAACATCCATGGCTTTGTCAAGAAATCGACTAGCCAGTTCCTAGAAATAAAGAAATGAGGGAAATGACAATATACTTCAGATTGTTCTTCTGCTTGTGCGTTGGCAGTTTGTAACAAAGCAAGAATTACACTCGGAGAGTATTTTGTACCGATGTTGTCTTTATTTCAAATGTTCAAGTATTGTGCAAGACTTACCAACTTCTGATTTACGTTTCATATATTCATTTTCTAATTGTCTGTAATTAGAATAGGTTTCTACAAGCTCCGTTTTGATCATATTGAAAGTTGGTTCCATAGATAGATTTGCTTCAGCTTGACGTCGGTTTTCATTCATGCAGGCTTCTTTGTCAGACTCGATCTTTTTAATCTGGTTTTTCAGAAAAAAAGTAAACGTTTAACAGGGAACATTTTAGGACACTTACATCAGGACAATTTTTAGCTAGCTTTTTTATGCCTTCATGATCAGATAATAAGGCTTCAAGTTCCGTTTTGGATAATTTTTCCAAGTAGGATAGAATATCATCCTTGCCATCCACTCCGTTATAACTTGTTGCATTCATTATAGTTCACAATCTAAAAAACAAGGGCATTATGGGATTTCTCCACAGTGATTCTTTTTTAAACGAACACATTAAAGCAGAACTTTACGCTGATACAGAGAAATAGAGTAGTCTTAGAGTCAAACTTTAGTTTGCATGACCCCTGAATGACCTACAGTGTTTAATCGCTTATGTTTCAAACGACATTTAGTTGTGTTGATTTACCAGCTTAGTACTTTATGTATATATTATTTAACCGAAAAAAAACTCGTTCTGCTGGGTAGCTGTGTTCGCTTTTAATATCAATATTACTTCGATAATCCAGTCTAAGGATAGTTATAAGTCAAGCACATTGTGTCACTGTGTATTCACTGATTAGTATTTTGTTCATTATTTTAACAATTTAGAAATTGCATCACCATAATATCCTAAACCCCTCTCAATAACACTCTGAAAATAAATATCCATCTCTTCAAACTTTCACATAGGACTGCAATCAGCTATCACATCTTGGTTAATATCTTTCATACATCTAATGTTGAGCGTTGAATAAAGTGTAACGATATAATTTATTGATCTATCCATTCTGAAGTAACTTATAGGTCAAGTACATTAGATTTCGTCCCTCAAAATAACAAAGAGAACACCACTGAACAAGATGCAATATTTTTCAAACAGAACCAAAAGAATAGTTAATCATTTCCGAATTTTAAGTTTACAAAAACTAACTCAGCAGTGATTGACGTATTCTGGAACTAAATGATTTGGTATAAACATTAAACATATTAACAAGCGCCATGATCTCTGTAATCTGATAGTCACATTACCTAATATGATGACTAAATTAAATAAAGATCTACTGTACATAATTTTGGAAAGTTAAAACAGATCAGTCAGGTCTGAATCTAGATAGCATATATGGCTAAAGAAATGTAATGTAAGCAAAAAGATAAAACAGGAGATTACACAACGTTTGTAAGTAAAATAAATACTTTAGTTAATAAAAGACAACTATATTAATAAGAATGTTTTAAAATTGGGGTACAGATTACTCAGAAACAGCTTCGGGTTAGTACTTAACAAGCGTAGCTTAGTGTACAAAATATATACAACTTTTTCAGATCCAGGAATCGAATAATGAAGGATTTATTTGGTTTAGGCTGTCATTGGTTATAACTAACTAATCAAAGGTGAATAGTGCACCCAATCGTCGAATGCTCTTAATTTACAGTCTGAATATTGTCGTCAGTTTTTTTCAAAAGTTCTCTAACTAAAAGTTAAATCCGTTTTAAAGAAATATGTAGTCTATATATATTTGATTATTTTGGTTATTACCCTGAAGAAGTCCAGACAGGTTTGCTGGACGAAACGCTGGAATTATTTAAATTTCAATCACTGAGATTAATTAAATATAATTGTCACATACAATTAATCAGTAAAAATCCTCAAGAAACGCATAAATTCTAAAAATGAGTAGCTGAGATAACAAATATATCATCTTTTATTGATCGGTGATAGCACATACAACAGGTTTTGGAGAACAAATCAAATATTTTTATCTAGATGAATAGTTGGCTTCATACTGAAAACATCGTGATTCGATGAGCAAATATATGGATCTATTATTGATTTCGCACATCGGTTTTGATATTGATTCTTGTAATAAAGTACAAAACATGTTTGCTGAAATTATATATATATATATATATATATATATATATATATATATATATATATATATATATATATATATATACCAAAATCACATATATTTCAAACTGTTAACAGATACCTCTGCTTTTCCTAATATCTGACAAACTGCCTTTTATGAAGAGATCAGCTTTGCCGACTATACTGTTTCAGTTTAACTATGTTGAGCGAAACCCTTGTTAACTGAAATCTAGAAACAATTTGAGTGATCAAAAATAACTACTAGTGTATTGTAGGTAATTATACTACCAAAATCTATGGTTTTTAAGCTACATACAGGTTAGTGATATTCCAAGCAGTATTGTCCTTCAATTGTAAAATAACTAGTTATAATTTAGTAAAAAAATAATACAGACCATTGTCATAGTGATAGTCAAATTTAGTTGAATAAAAATTTCTAACCACCTGGGAATCATGCAATCGTATGTTGTACTTGACTGTGTTAATATTCTAATATACGTTGTTAGCTAGGATAAGCAACAAAAGCATTTGTGAAGTACACAGGTAAGACAGGAGATAAGCAAGTATGTATTGATGAAGAACCCAGCACAAAAGTGAGTCGATTTAAAAAGCCTGAGCAGAGAAAAAGAAATTCATTACATGTGAGAAAGTATTTAAAACAAGAGAAACGTCTAAAAAAGACAAACAAATCAAGAATAATACGGTATTTGAGATTCAGAAGGCGAAGAGTAGATCCATTTGCATCACTTCCATGCTAATAGCACTCAATAACCATTGGATTCTAACCTATCAAGACCCAGCTCATGGAGTCTGTATTTCGATACACAACTGACAGACTGTCAGGTGCAGCCTGATGGGATGAGTTTACGAGAATCCATCAGTGCAACAGACCTTGAAGAAATCCACTGGTTCTTTGTAATACTGTGGTTTAAATCACTAATAGATGTCACTGCTGTTTCCATAGCTGCTTGTATATCTTTCCAAGCAACATCTGGGTCAGCCTCGTTTTCAGAACTACCTAAGTGTGACCCCTACCTACTTTTGGTTTTCTCGTTACTCATTTCAGTTCTAATAGGTCTTCTGAGTATGCTTTTTCTGGGTCCAGTGAGGCACAAGCAGATGTGTGCCCGTATTAGAGTATGGTCGGATTTCAAGCAGGTACTCCAGAATGAGCGACAATCTTCTATCGACCCTCTCCAATGATGACTGATGGCAATATGGTCTATTTGAGTCCATCGTTGGTTTGGTGTAGGGGGTCGCCATGTTAGACGATGTCTCTCCTTATGCTCAAAATCTGTGTCTGCTAAAAATAAACGATTGTCTGAGCACAATTGCAGCAGACGATCACCATTATCTGTTCGCTGAACCGGAATACTAAAATACCCACCTAAATGCCTTTCTGTTTGGTTTAAACTACCTATCTGGACATTAAAGTCACCTGCTACGAGTACTATGTCTGAATGTTTGGCTTTCTGAAGAAGTTTAGACAGCTTTCTGTAAAATTCATCTTTCACTTCATCCGAGCTGCAGTCAGTGGGAGCATAGGCAGAAACGACAGAAAGGAAGCGACTTGTGTCCCTATCCTTCCAAGTTCTTACGGAGCCATTTAGCTGAACAGCACATAAACGACTGTTAACGGGGGTCCACTCTAGTAGTGCTTGCTCCGCCCTCATGCTTAGTGTTATGCTGTGTAATATACCACTAAAGACAGCGGACTGTTATCTAGTACGTCCTTCACTTGGTAGACAGTCAGGTGTTTCCAGTGCAACAGAGCAAGTGGATTCGAGAACTGCAAACAAGCTTTCTGTGTACATTAGTACTTATCTCGAGGAATCGACTCAGTGTTGATACAAATGACATATACAGAATTACCAACATGCTAAACCACTCCACTCCCCATCTCCAAATTAGTAGAAGATGGTTATTCCAAGAGTGTGACCTTAAATTCTAATAGTTCTAAACACAGACTATCAGTAGATTTCCCACTGATTCACTCATAAAACCTTGAATCCTGCTACAGTTTATGTTTAATAAAACAATGTTATCTATCTGCTTATTCAAAAGGAAATCACCGAGTAGAAGAGGACATATAGACATTTAACTCCAATAGATGCGTTAATACGATCTACTTAAAACGAAAAATCCGTCTGTCATCGGAACGCAATATGAACATGTTAGAAATCCAGTTAGGTTAACCCTTTTCACATACTTGTAATTAGTAGCTAATTGCTGTGTGAACTATGGAGGGAATTCTGGATAGTTCATCGGTTATAGTTGTGTTGAGAAAAGGTATTGAACAAAAGCGTACTGTGAAATGAATAAAACTGCAGACAGCAGCACTTGTCAATTGATTAGCTACTAAAGAACCCCCACTGGTAGCTTAAATGATTTTCCCTTGTTTCGAAACCAGCTATCCACAGCTAGCACCACAAAACCTGACAGACAAAATCTATAAAGACCGATTAGATGGTGTAATTTAAACTAACAGTCCTAAATAAATGAAGCCTAGGAAGAATACTGACAATGTCATGAGCAAACATAGTTTACGACTGATTTAAGAATTAATTTAATTCCGTCCAAATTTTAATCACGAGCTTTTTCTACAGTAATCACGACCGAACCAATTTAAAAGGATATAAACATTCAAAGAGTCCAGGTTCTATCAAAAAAAGACGTTTCAATTTAGTGAGTTGAATTATATTGAATACCTAGACTAGGGGATTAACAATTGTTAGCCCTATACGTCTATACCACGTACCACTAAGAGATTTCATAAACTAACCACACCTCTATTTCATCTGTCAGATTTCAGAGCAAAAGATTAGTTTTTGTATGGAAACTCCAGAAACGACATTCGCAAAATATATCTAGGCCACGAGAGACGTGTTTTAATATGGTGAAACTGAATTATCAGCGTCCCACAACATTACAAGATCTCAACATTTTTTATATCATGCTGCCAACGGATATGATCGATGTTTCGGAGACAATTGTCTGATTGTGATAAAGATTAGCGTACTGTAACATACATAACATTATTATCCGATTAGATCAATATACGACGTTACGACTACGCACTTCATTAGTCCTCAGTTTCCGAATGCCCTGGTACGGCCGAGAGTGGGGAGAGTCCGCTCTCCCTCTCGAAATGCTCTCACACGGCCACGCGTTTACAGCCTCTGCCAGGGAAGTCCTACTCACTGCCTTCTCGTGGCGAGGGTGTTGTTTACGAAAATGAGAGGAAGAAAAGTGAATGTCCGGCGCTTTAACCGGATCCCAAACCAATGGTGCACATGGGCTCCAGTATCCTGATGGGAACAAATGGCGTATGAACCAATCGTTGGTCACCG